GAGATGTTTTGGGATGAGGTAGGAGTAGATTCGTTTATGAATTATTTTTCGAAGATTTTTGGAGAGGGTGTTAAATTGATATTGGCTATAGTACATGTGGAGATGTCATGTCTGAGGCAATGTGTGGTTGAATAAATGCAGAGAATTCGTAGTTGAAGTTAGGAGGAGGTGCGGATTACAAAACTGTTGTCAGATGTGGCTGGGAAGGGTTGTTGAGGTGTCAGACATGTAGAGAGATGAGCGAAAAAATGACTTCAAGAGTGTATCAGTCGTAGTGGAAGGAAGGGGGGTAGGGGTCGGCCTAGGAAAGTTGGGGGGGAAAGGAGGTTGTGTGGAGTGCACCCTTGGACTTCAGAGGCATGCATGAGCGTTTGATAGGAGTGAATGGAGACCAAATGGTTTTTCAATTTACGTGGGTATGGAATGTGAGCAAAGTAACTTTAGAAGGATCAGGGAAACCCAGGGGCCGGACTTGAGTCCTGGAGATGGAAGTTACAGTGCCTGCACTCTGAAGGAGGGTGTTAATGTTGCAGTTTAAAACTGTAGTGTAAAGACCTTTGGCCAAGACAGTGATTGGAGTGAATGATGGTGAAAGTTTTCTTTTTCGGGCCACCCTGCTTGGTGGGAATCGGCCAGTTGGATAATAATAAAAAAAAAAAAAGTTATTCAACTCTGTTTGGTCTCCTTTATGGATCGGGGTGTCCCTTAGCATTTGAGACTTGGGAAGGTGGAGGATTCATGGATTTGTTTTAAAGTGTTGCAAGATTGGTGATAGTACTGTGACACTTTTTTGTATATAAAGGGTGGTAAGGTATTTAAATCTCCTGCCTTGTTTTTCAGTGCGTTGATAATAAGGGAGACTTCGTTGGGTTAGTCGGAGCTAGGAACAGTGTGTTCGGGTAGTTGCCAGTGAGGTAGTCATTTGGTGGGGTATCTGAGCTTGGTTTTATTGGCAAGGTTTTGACCTATAGTGGAGAAGAAATCATTGAGTCTGTTTGCTGTTTCTGTTGGTGGGAGTTGGGTTCATCTGATTTTGCTAATTTTATTTCGCTATGTCGTGATATCTTTTTTGTTCCCAGAATTTCTGATAGGGTCTTCCAGGTCTTTTTTATATCACCTTGTAAGTTGGATAATCTGTTCTCATATCAATTTTTTTGCCCTTCTTATCAGGCTGGTTAGGATTGACGAGTAACGTTTTGTTTGGTCTCTGGTTATGTGACCCATTCTGTACTGTTTTTCATATCGGTGTTTTGTATTTATGGATTTGAGAATGCTGGGTGTTAGCCAGGGACTGTTCAGTCTCTTAGCTGTCATCTGTTTAGTTTTTTTAGGGCAGTGCTTGTTATAAAGGTATTGGGTCTTTTTTAGAAAATTATTAAAACATTCGTTCAATATCTGTATAGATTTCTAGCTCAGTGTGCCAGTCAATGTTTGTTACTGCTGTTGTGAAGTTATTAATGGCTGCCTCATTGTGAAGTCTGAAGGTGACTTTAGTAGTGTCTTGGGGTATTTTACCAAGAGTTGTTATGAGGAAAGTAGGGTAGTGGTCTGTGGTATTATCTGTAATTATGCCTGATTTTAAAGGGGATATGGTGTTGGTCCAGATGTGGTCAAGTAGGGAAACACTAGTCTCTGTAACTCTTGTAGGTTTTGTTACTGTTGGTAGCAACATGCAGTTACTCATTGTGTTTGTGAATTCAGTAACGTGTGGGTCCTGGTCTTGCAGGAGATTTATATTGAAGTCACCTGAGAGTAGTAAGTGATCTTTGTTCATGTGTGCATCAGTTATCATACTTCCTAGGTTTTGACTAAATTGGTTAATGTTTGATTGTGGAACTCTGTAGATCTTTATCACTGTGAGAGGTTTTTGTAGGTATTTGGATTTGAATTTAGCTATTATATATTCCCCATGTTCATCCCTTGTGCAAGTATTAGTGATACATTCTAGTTGGTCTGAGTAGTATATAGCAGTGCCACCCCCTTGTTGGTCTGGCCTACAGTTGTGTATGGCTGTGTAACCAGGAATGGCATAGACATCTGTACTATCAGGCTTTAGCTAGGTTTCAGTTAGTGTAATGATGGACATATTGGCATGCAAGGAATTTAGTAATGCTAGGAGGTCATCATAATGCTTGCTTAAAGATCTGATATTGTAGTTAAAGATAGTTATGTTGTTGTTGGCTCTGAGAAGTGCCTTTGATTGTTCTGCTGTGTAGTAATTACAGTAACTGTTTGAATCATTTAAGTCATTAAATAAGAGGTTGGTATCAGGATCAATGTTTGTAATCATAAGATTTGTAGTGAATCTATAGTTAGAATTAAGTAAAAAATAAAGTAAATATTCTAAAGCTAAAAAAAAAAATAGCACCTGAATTATTTAACAAATGTAAAAATAATGAGCTAAGGTAGTTTTTTAAAGCTAAAATAAAGGAGACAATATAAAAGGGACTAAAATAATTTGTGGTGAACAAATAAAGTGATGATCAAATAATGGAGCTTGGGAATATGATAGTAGGTAGTACTTTAAAGGTAATTCTTTAAAGTTAGAATTATAAGTATAAAATTATAATATAAAAGGGACTAATATAAGTTGTGGTGAACAATAAAGTGGTAATCAAATAATTGCACTAAGGTCTAATATAATGACTTTTGTGGAGTCTATGTTTTGAGCTGAAAGAAAATATTATTTTTATTATTTTTTAACACACCAGCCATCTCCCACCAAGGCAGGGTGACCTGAAAAAGAAACACTTTCACCATCATTCACACTATAACTGCCTTGTCAGAAGTCCACAGATACAACAATGTATTATTATTAGTATTATTTGTAGTAATATTACTATTATTATTATTATTATTATTATTATTATTATTATTAGGGGTGATAGTGTTGCAGTTTTATAACTGTAGTGTAAGCATGCCTCTGGCAAAACAGTGATGGAGTGAATGATGATGAAAGTTTTTCTTTTTCGGGTCACCCTGCCTTGGTGGGAGATGGTCAATGTGTTAATAAAAAAAATATTCTTATTATTATTATAAATACAGACAGAGCACTAGAAATATGTGTTCACTTACAGTGTAACACTGCAAGACTGAGTATCAATAAGAGATAACACTTTTGTAGATGAATGGTTCAGAGAACTGACATGTTGATAAATTAGACACATGTGCAACTCTTGGGTATCTTTATTGAGGAAACGTTTCGCCACACAGTGGCTTCATCAGTCCATACGTAGGAGAAACTTGAAGAACAGGAGGAGAATGAGGTAATCAGTCCCTCAACCTTGAGTCGATGTGTTCAGTCCATCAATCTTGAATAGAATATGGCATACGAGCGGAGAAGCAGCTTATAAACCGTATGGCAGGAGAGGTGTAGCAGTCATAGGTGGTGTCACATTTGTTCAATGTGGAAGTAGGTCGTGCCCAAGAATTAGGCAAGCGAAGAATTCCTAAGTATTAAGATCCCAAGAAGTTGCAGTGTCTGACAGGTTTGTAGATGAATGGTTCAGAGAACCGACATGTTGATAAATTAGACACATGTGCAACTCTTGGGTATCTTTAGTGAGGAAACGTTTCGCCACACAGTGGCTTCATCAGTCCATACGTAGGAAGAAACTTGAAGAATGGTTCTCTGAACCATTCATCTACAAACCTGTCAGACACTGCAACTTCTTGGGATCTTAATACTTAGGAATTCTTCGCTTGCACGACCTACTTCCACATTGGACAAATGTGACACCACCTATGACTGCTGCACCTCTCCTGCCATACGGTTTATAAGCTGCTTCTCCGCTCATATGCCATATTCTATTCAAGATTGATGGACTGAACACATCGACTCAAGGTTGAGGGACTGATTACCTCATTCTCCTCCTGTTCTTCAAGGGACTGATCCTACGTGATGGGACTGTAATAAAGCCCAGTGTGCACAACGTTTCCTCAATAAAGATACCCAAGAGTTGCACATGTGTCTAATTTATCAAGAGATAACACTGCAAGACTGGGTATCAATAAGAGATAACACTACAAGACTGGGTATCAATAAGAGATAACACTACAAGACTGGGTATCAATAAGAGATAACACTGCAAGACTGGGTATCAATAAGAGATAACACTACAAGAAACCTGGGTATCAATAAGAGATAACACTACAAGACTGGGTATCAATATGAGATAACACTACAAGACTGGGTATCAATAAGAGATAACACTACAAGACTGGGTATCAATAGAGATAACACTCAAGACTGGGTATCAATAAGAGATAACACTACAAGACTGGGTATCAATAAGAGATAACACTACAAGACTGGGTATCAATAAGAGATAACACTACAAGACTGGGTATCAATAATGAGATAACACTACAAGACTGGGTATCAATAAGGATAACACTACAAGACTGGGTATCAATAAGAGATAACACTGCAAGACTGGGTATCATATGAGATAACACTACAGATAATGACTGTGCTACAAATGGTAGAAACTCTTACAAATTACATTACAACTGAACACTCAAGATAGGTCACTATGAGCAAGAGGTTATTTTTACAAACAAAGATACCATACAGTGGAACATCGGTATGCGACCTTAATTCATTCCAGAAGGCTGTTCGAGTGCTGCTCCATTTGAGTATCGAACAAGTTCTTCCCAACCAGTTTTCTTTTTGGTTGGCTGTTATTACTAACCTTCGTAGGCCCCATGGTGACTTATTTATACAGATAATACAAAAAAAAAAAAACACTACAAAGTGCAAAGCACAAAATAGTTTACAGCGAAGTTCTGGCAAGTCATATTTGTTTGGTCGAGTGCTGAGCTTTGTTCAAGTAGGGAGCTGGTTGTATACTGAGGTTCCACTGTACAAGTCACTGTACAAGTCACTGTACAAGTCACTTCTGCATCCTGCAATTGAGACATTTGGATGTGGACATAGAGAGCCCCTGGTTATGCAGAGTATTCCAGGTAAATAAAAAGAGAACGATCCAGCCACTTACTGTAGTTTCCTTGTCCTTGACAGTGCAGTTGAGACAATAAATATTGGTACAGGACGTGATGAAGAGGTGGGTGGCGCGGGTTGTGTGGCGGATGTGGAGAGATGTGACACCGCTCGACACAGTCAACAGAACCCTATGTTTGCTGCCTCGTTCCCGACTTACTTCACCTGTGAGAGGCATCAAATATTATAGTACTGACAATGCCATAAAAAACAGATATTTAAAAAAATAACAGTACTAAAGATGCAATAAAGTCATAAAAAAAAGATAATCTAAAAAATAATAGCATTAGAGATGAAATAAGATCACAAAAAACAGGTACTATCTTAATATGCAATATAACTACAGTGAAAAGAAGCAACTCCATGGGGACTCCGTAAGCCATGTGTGTCATAAGAGACAACTAAAATGCCAGGAGCAAGAGGCTAGTAACCCCTTCTCCTGTATACATTACTAAATTTATAAAGAGAAACTTTTGTTTTTCTTTTTGGGTCACCCTGCCTGGGTGGGATAAAGCCAGTGCATTGAAAGAAAGAAAGAAAGAAAGAAAGAAAAGATAAAGATTTAATTACAGAAATAAAGATAAAAAAGATAAGCAGAAAGGGAAAAGAAAGAAAGGACAAATACCACCCTGAATGATCTTAATAGCCCCCTTTTAAAAATGATCCTCACACACTATGTAAGAAACCCTGAAGTATTAAGAAAAGATTTTATATAGTTAAGAAATGTGATCCTCATGTAAAGTAATTAGTTACTGAGTTACACTACTCCTGAATGATCATCATGAAAGTAGTTACCTCACTCACTGAGTGTGAGGAATACTTTTCCTGAATGATCATCATGAAAGTAGTTACCTCACTCACTGAGTGTGAGGAATACTTTTCCTGAATGATCATCATGAAAAGTTTCATATGATTGGCTTTTCCAATGGTTCATGAAAGAGTACTACTCATTTTTTTTTTTTTTTTCAACAAGTGTTCCTCACCACTGAGGTGGATGATACCCTAAGATCATTATGAAAGTAACACTCACTCACTGAGGGAAAATACTTTCATATCATCATGAACACTTTACCTCACTACACATTATACTTTTTGAATGATCTTAATAAAGTAGTTTAAAACTCACTACTATTAAATATTCCTGAATATCCTCTCGAAACTGCCAATCTATTCTTTTTAAACTGCAGCATTTTTTTTCCAACAAGTGGGCTCAGTTCCCACCTAGCATGACAAAAAAGGAAAGAATCCCTAAACAAAATATATCCATTCACCACATCACACACTCACACAGTATCATTCGCTATTTCACTCTATCTAACACGTTTAGAACGCTTGATAAAAATCCAACCCCTCCCCCCATCCACAAACACCTCCTTTAAACCGTCTCCATCCCCTTTCCGAACCCTTTGTAAGGGTCCCTATCCCACTCCTTCCTTTCCCTATAGATTAAGGTCCCAAGTTTATTCACTTTGATCCTATCTCCTCTACATGACCGCTAAACCCCCCCTCAAACAACCCCTCTTCAACCCTCTGGACTACCCCACCCCCTTTTATTAAACTCCACTACCTTCCTTCCCTAAATGACCAAACCCCCTCACAATTTTCTTGCATAATATTTCCAACCACACCCATTTGCCCCCCTTAGACAGGACATCTCCACTGCCTCCAACCGTCTCTTGCTGCTGCATTTACCACCCAAGCTTCACATCCATATAAGAGTGTTGGTACTACTATACTTTCATACATTCCCTTCTTTGCCTCCATAGATAACGTTTTTTGACTCCACATATACCTCAACGCACCACTCACCTTTTTCCCTCATCAATTCTATGATTAACCTCATCCTTCATAAATCCATCCGCCGACACATCAACTCCCAAGTATCTGAAAACATTCACTTCTTCCATACTCCTCCTCCTCCAATTTGATATCCAATTTTTCTTTATCTAAATCATTTGATACCCTCATCAACCTTACTCTTTTCTATGTTCACTTTCAACTTCCTACCTTTACACACATTCTCAAACTCATCTACTAACCTTTGCAATTTTTTTTAGAATCTCCCATAAGCACAGTATCATCAGCAAAAGTAACTGTGTCAATTCCCATTTTGAATTTGATTCCCCATAATTTAACCCCACCCCTCTCCCAAAACACCCTAGCATTTACTTCTTTTACAACCCCATCTATAAATATATTAAACAACCATGGTGACATTACACATCCCTGTCTAAGACCTACTTTTACCGGGAAGTATTCTCCCTCTCTTCTACACACTCTAACCTGAGCCTCACTATCCTCATAAAAACTCTTAACAGCATTTAGTAACTTACCACCTATTCCATATACTTGTAACATCTGCCAAATTGCTCCTCTATCCACTCTATCATATGCCTTTTCTAAATCCATAAATGCAATAAAAACTTCCCTACCTTTATCTAAATACTGTTCACATATATGCTTCAATGTAAACACTTGATCTACACATACCCTACCCACTCTGAAGCCTCCCTGCTCATCCGCAATCCTACATTCTGTCTTACCTCTAATTCTTTCAATTATAACCCTACCGTATACTTTTTCTGGTATACTCAGTAAACTTATTCCTCTATAATTTTTACAATCTCTTTTGTCCCCTTTCCCTTTATATAAAGGGACTATACATGCTCTCCGCCAATCCCTAGGTACCTTCCCCTCTTTCATACATTTATTAAACAAAAGTACCAACCACTCCAACACTACATCCCCCCGTGCTTTTAACATTTCTGTCATGATCCCATCAGTTCCAGCTGCTTTACTCCCTTTCATTCTACGTAATGCCTCACGTACCTCCACCACACTTACATTCTGCTCTTCTTCACTCCTAAAAGAGATGGTATACCTCCCTGGCCAGTGCATGAAATTACCGCCTCCCTTTCTCCTCAACATTTGAGAAGTTCCTCAAAATATTCTCGCCATCTACCTAATACCTCCCTTTCCCCATCTACTAATTCCCCTACTCTGTTTTTAACTGACAAATCCATACTTTCCCTAGGCTTTCTTAACTTATTTAATTTACTCCAAAACTTTTTCTTATTTTCATTAAAATTTCTGACAGTGCCTTCTCCCACTCTATCATCTGCTCTCCTTTTGCACTTTCTCACCACTCTCTTCACCTTTCTTTTACTCTCCATATACTCTGCTCTTCTTATAACACTTCTGCTTTGTAAAAACCTCTCATAAGCTACCTTTTTCTCTTTTATCACACCCTTTACTTCATCATTCCACCAGTCACTCCTCTTTTCCTCCTGCCCCCACCCTCCTATAACCACAAACTTCTGCCCCACATTCTAATACTGCATTTTTAAAACTATTCCAACCCTCTTCAAAACCCCCCACTACTCATCTTTGCACTAGCCCACCTTTCTGCCAATAGTCAGTTATATCTCACCCGAACTTCCTCCTCCCTTAGTTTACACACTTTACCTCCCTCTTACTTGTTGTTGCCACCTTCCTCTTTTCCCATCTACCTTTACTCTAACTGTAGCTGCAACTAAATAATGATCCGATATATCAGTTGCCCCTCTATAAACATGTTACATCCTGGAGCCTACCCATCAACCTTTTATCCACTAATACATAATCTAACAAACTACTTTCATTACGCGCTACATCATACCTTGTATATTTATTTATCCTCTTTTTCATAAAATATGTATTACTTATTACCAAATTTCTTTCTACACATAGCTCAATTAAAGGCTCCCCATTTACATTTACCCCTGGCACCCAAATTTACCTACTACTCCCTCCATAACATTTTTACCCACTTTAGCATTGAAATCCCCAACCACCATTACTCTCACACTTGATTCAAAACTTCCCACACATTCACTCAACATTTTCCAGAATCTCTCTCTCTCCTCTACACTTCTCTCTTCTCCAGGTGTATACACACTTACTATAACCCACTTCTCACATCCAATCTTTATTTTACTCCACATAATCCTTGAATTTATACATTGTAGTCCCTCTTTTCCTGCCATAGCTTATCCTTCAACAGTACTAATATATGACAAAATAAACAGTACATTAAGAGTGCGAGGAGTACCTCATTGAATGTACACTATAAGAAATACAAAGATTTACCATAGATAAAAAATTAATGTCCAAGATAAACAAAGTAGTACATACTTGGAAGATAAAATAAGGAGCACTAACAGAAGCTTACTCCATACAGGTTTAAAAATTGGTATAAAAAGGCAATGAAGACAGCTGGTTGAAAGTCATGGGTAAGAACTATGAGCTAGAGTTCACCACCCCTCCCTCCCACTCCTGCAAATTAAAACAAGCGGTAATCACATTTACGAGCGGTAATCACATTTACATGTTAATCTTTCACACCATGCAACTAACCTCTATAGAGCATGATTGCACCATCAGAGAAGCCAACAGCCATCATGGACAAGTTGGGATGAACTGCTATAGCAGTCACTCTGGGTACCTTCATTGCTTGCTGGGGCACTGAGCTTGACCTTGACCCTGAAGCAGGCCTTGGGTCCGGGATGATGGTGCGCAGACATGCTGGATGCCCATGAACATCTGGCTTATCTGGAGCCCAAACCTTGATCTGTGAAAGGCCGTCTTTGCCATCCTAACAGGTAAAAAGAATTAATATTAGAAAATAATTATTCGTGGCTGTTTGGAGGGACATCTGAACTGTCATATCTATTTGCCTCTGGCAACACAGTGATAAAGTGAATGAGGGTGAAAGTGTTTCTTCTTTTTTTTTTGGTCACCCTGCCTTGGTAGGAAACAGCCATGTCTTAAAAAATATTACTCTTACTGTATAAACCATGGAATGAGTGGGATTTGAACCCCACGACAAGCGAGTACTAAAACTCCAGGCCAGTGTGTAAGCCACTCAGCCAGATGGCTTACACACTGGCCTAGAGTTTTAGGACTCACTATGGGTTCAAACCCCATTAATTCCATGGTTTGTTTACAATCGTGTTATTATGATTTCACGAGTCATTACTATATATGAAACAAAGTACCAAACTCTACAGTCTTTTCTCTTGACACCAACAAACTTTTGTATACAAAGTAGACTCATACATACACACACAGATGGTACTCACAGCCACGTTATTACAACACTGGTATGATCAAAGGCAGCGATGGAGTTCACCGCCTGATCATGGGCTTGGAAAGAATCCAGTTTAAGTTGACGTGTGAGGCTGTGGACCCATCCACTTGTGTCTCCCACATAAACATGGCCACGGCCTGCTGCTGTACAAGTCACTTCTGCATCCTGGAATTGAGAGAAACTCTTTGAATGTATTTGTAAAGTATCTTTTTCAAATGTCCATTGTAATTTTTCATGGAAGTCATTGGGAATTTCTAAATCCATAGGGGCCATTCAGTGCCTACAGAAAGAGAGGTAAGAGGTATGTGGGTAGGCAAGTCTATCTGAAGGGTGTTTTGGGGGTCAACGCTCCCACGGCCCAATCTTTGACCAGTTCTTAAGCCACACCAGCCAGTTTTGTGATTAAGTACATAATTTTCTCACCAGTCAGTCTGAGGTAGGTAGTTCTGTGAACAAATATATGAACACATGCAGCAGCCAGACTCACACTCTATGGAGACACAGATGTTCATTTAGATCATTACATACTCAGCGAACATTGCTTTGAACAAGACCTTATATTGCATTTATCTGTGCCTTGCTTACATAAATTCATATTCTCCTTTCATTTGTGTATCTGCTGAAGAGTACCTCAGAAAGGGGTCGAAATATACAGATCAATTAAATTTCCAAGTTTCTGTATCCATGTGGGTTATTACTGAGCATACTACAGTATGTTTAATCATAGTCAATATAAATTAATTCCAAAAGGTAATCAAGAGATAAGAAATACAGTGTAAATGATTAAGAGGAAAACCATTTGTAAACATATAGCTATTTAAAAAAGAAATCAAATTAAGTGAAAAACTGTTCAGTGGTACAATAGATTCGCAACTGGCACTTCCATACAAATGTATGACTAAAAGGAAGAGAAAATATTGGAAATTATTTCCAGGTACAATACTATATGTTTCTGACTATGTATACATTGGATTCACATTCGTAGCAAATACAGCAAGACTAATATAACATACCTTAACTGCTTCAGCTAACTTCCCACCATCGATATTAGCCTTGACATCGAAGAAGCTGAACTTCCGCCACTGTGACAAAAAAAAATGCACTAAGTAAAATATACAACCACAATGGTACTGTCTATATATCTGTTATAACATACAAATTACTAATCAGGCTGCACTGCAGTGAGTCAAATCCAAAGCAAAGGACCTAAAAACCCAATGGAAATAAACCACACTACTCAACTTTCTTGGGTTTTGTGATTTATTAGTTTATTATCCCTTCTGCAGTTAATAATTCAAAAAAAACTCACCAAATTACCTAACATATAATATCTTATTCATAAGAAATTTCTATAGGTACTGTAACTTGCTTAAGAATGTAATAAGAAAAGACAATATGTATTATGATTCTCCATTGGGAAAGTGGGAAAAAATCTTTCCTCCGGAAGACAAGCGTGTCGTAAGAAGCAACTATAGTGTCGGGAACAAGGGGCTAGTAACCTCTTCAGTGGGTGATGACTGGTGTGTTGAAAAAAATATTATAAAATCATCAGCAATCAATTACGTTGAGTCAGATCACTATAGGTTGGGTCAGACCACTCTAGGTTGGGTCAGATCACTCTAGGTTGGGTCAGACCACTCTAGGTTGGGTCAGATCACTCTAGGTTGGGTCAGATCACTCTAGGTTGGGTCAGATCACTCTAGGCTGGGTCAGATCACTCTAGGCTGGGTCAGATCACTCTAGGTTGGGTTAGATCACTCTAGGTTGGGTCAGATCACTCTAGGTTGGATCAGATCACTCTAGGTTGGGTCAGATCACTCTAGGTTGGGTCAGATCACTCTAGGTTGGGTCAGATCACTCTAGGTTGGGTCAGACCACTCTAGGTTGGGTCAGACCACTCTAGTTTGGGTCAGATCACTCTAGGTTGGGTCAGATCACTCTAGGTTGGGTCAGATCACTCTAGGCTGGGTCAGATCACTCTAGGATGGGTCAGATCACTCTAGATTGGGTTAGATCACTCTAGGTTGGGTCAGATCACTCTAGGTTGGATCAGATCACTCTAGGTTGGGTCAGATCACTCTAGTTTGGGTCAGATCACTCTAGTGGGTCAGATCACTCTAGGTATGGGTCAGATCACTCTACTGGTCAATCCCAGGTTGGGTTAGATCACTCTAGGTTGGGTCAGATCACTCTAGGTTGGATCAGATCACTCTAGGTTGGGTCAGATCACTCTAGGTTGGGTCAGACCACTCTAGGTTGGGTCAGACCACTCTAGGTTGGGTCAGACCACTCTAGGTTGGGTCAGACCACTCTAGGTTGGGTCAGATCACTCTAGGTTGGGTCAGACCACTCTAGTTTGGGTCAGATCACTCTAGGTTGGGTCAGATCACTCTAGGTTGGGTCAGATCACTCTAGGTTGGGTCAGATCACTCTAGGTTGGGTCAGATCACTCTAGGTTGGGTCAGACACTCTAGGTTGGGTTAGACCACTCTAGGTTGGGTCAGACCACTCTAGGTGAGTCAGATCACTCTAGGTGACAGTGTCTTCCATTGCAGACACTGCAAGGCTCCAGGTGGACATCAACCAAATCTTTCAATGGGCTGCAGAAAACAATATGAAGTTCAACAATGAGAAATTCCAATTACTCCGATATGGTAAACACGAGGAAATTAAAACTTCATCAGAGTACAAAACAAATTCCGGCCACAAAATAGAGCGAAAAACCAACGTCAAAGACCTGGGAGTGATCACGTCGGAGAATCTCACCTTCAAGGACCATAACATTATATGAATCGCAGCTGCTAGAAAAATGACAGGATGGATAATGAGAACCTTCAAAACTAGGGATGCCAAGCCCATAATGACACTCTTCAGGTCGCTTGTTCTATCTAGGCTGGAATATTGCTACACACTAACAGCACCTTTCAAAGCAGGTGAAATACTGACCTAGAAAATGTACAGAGAACCTTCACAGCGCGCATAACGGAGATAAAACACCTCATTTACTGGGAGCGCTTAAAGTTCCTGAACCTGTATTCCCTGGAACGCAGGCGGGAGAGATACACGATTATATACACCTGGAAAATCCTAGAGGGACTAGTACTGAACTTGCACATGAAAATCACTCACAATGAAAGCAAAAGACTTGGCGGACAATGCAACATCCCCCAGTGAAAAGCAGGGGTGTCACTAGAACGTTAAGAGATAATACAATAAGTGTCAGGGGCCCGAGACTGTTCAACTGCCTCCCAGCATACATAAGGGGGATTACCAATAGACCCATGGCAGTCTTCAAGCTGGCACTGGACAAGCGCCTAAAGTCGGTACCTGACCAGCCGGGCTGTGACTCATACGTTGGATTGTGTGCAGCCAGCAGTAACAGCCTGGTTGATCAGGCTCTGATCCACCAGGAGGCCTGGTCACAGACCAGGCCGCGGGGGCGCTGACCCCCGGAACTCTCTCCAGGTAAACTCCAGGTAGGGTGGGTCAGATCACTCTAGGTTGGGTCAGATCACTCTAGGTTGGGTCAGATCACTCTAGGTTTGGTCAGATCCCTCTAGGTTGGGTCAGATCACTCTAGGTTGGGTCAAATCACTCTTGGTTGGTTTCAAATCCCCCTCTAGGTTGGGTTAGATCACTCTATGTTGGGTCAGATCACTCTAGGTTGGGTCAGATTGCTCTAGGTTGGGTCAGATCGCTCTAGGTTGGGTCAAATCGCTCTAGGTTGGGTCAAATCGCTCTAGGTTGAGCCAGGTCACTCCAGGTTGGGTCAGGTCACTCTAGGTTGGGTCAGGTCACTCTAGGTTGGGTCAGGTCACTCTAGGTTGGGTCAGGTCACTCTAGGATGGGTCAAATCGCTCTAGGTTGGATCAAATCGCTCTAGGTTGGTTCAGATCACTCTAGGCTGGGTCAGATCACTCTAGGTTGGGTTAGATCACTCTAGGTTGGGTTAGATCATTCTAGGTTGGGTTAGATCATTCTAGGTTGGGTTAGATCACTCTAGGTTGGGTCAGATCACTATAGGTTGGGTCAGATCACTATAGGTTGGGTCAGATCACTATAATTGGGTAGATCACTCTAGGTTGGGTCAGAATCCTATAGGTTGGGTCAGATCACTATAGGTTGGGTCAGATCACTATAGGTTGGGTCAGATCACTATAGGTTGGGTCAGATCACTATAGGTGGGTCAGATCACTATAGATTGGGTTAGATCACTCTAGGTTGGGTCAGATCACTATAGGTTGGGTCAGATCACTATAGGTTGGGTCAGATCACTATAGGTTGGGTCAGATCACTATAGGTTGGGTTCAGATCATTTTAGGTTGGTCAGATCACTTATAGATTGGGCTAGATCACTATAGGTTGGGTCAGATCACTATAGGTTGGGTCAGATCACTATAGGTTGGGTCAGATCACTATAGATTGGGTTAGATCACTATAGGTTGGGTCAGATCACTATAGGTTGGGTCAGATCACTATAGATTGGGTTAGATCACTATAGGTTGGGTCAGATCACTATAGGTTGGGTTAGATCACTATTACCTGGAGTTTACCTGGAGAGAGTTTCGGGGGTCAACGCCCCCGCGGCCTGGTCTGTGACCAGGCCTCCTGGTGGATCAGCGCTTGATCAACCAGGCTGTTGCTGCTGGCTGCACGCAAACCAACGTACGAGCCACAGCCCGGCTGATCAGGTAGGTTGGGTCAGATCACTATAGGTTGGGTTAGATCACTATAGGTTGGGTCAGATCACTATAGGTTGGGTTAGATCACTATAGGTTGGGTTAGATCACTATAGGTTGGGTTAGATCACTATAGGTTGGGTCAGATCACTATAGGGTGGGTTAGATCACTATAGGTTGGGTTAGATCACTATAGGTTGGGTCAGATCACTATAGGTTGGGTTAGATCACTATAGGTTGGGTTAGATCACTATAGGTTGGGTTAGATCACTATAGGTTGGGTTAGATCACTATAGGTTGGGTCAGATCACTATAGGTTGGGTCAGATCACTATAGATTGGGTTAGATCACTATAGGTTGGGTCAGATCACTATAGGTTGGGTTAGATCACTATAGGTTGGGTCAGATCACTATAGGTTGGGTTAGATCACTATAGATTGGGTTAGATCACTATAGGCTGGGTTAGATCACTATAGGTTGGGTTAGATCACTCTAGGTTGGGTCAGATCACTATAGGTTGGGTTAGATCACTCTAGGTTGGGTCAGATCACTATAGGTTGGGTTAGATCACTCTAGGTTGGGTTAGATCACTATAGGTTGGGTTAGATCACTCTAGGTTGGGTCAGATCACTATAGGTTGGGTTAGATCACTATAGGTTGGGTTAGATCACTTTAGTTTATGTTCTAGATAGCGACTTCATTTACTATTTTTTTTTAACTATGGGCGATGACACCAATAAAAAAAATCTTTTTACTCTGCTTTACTTAACCTAGTTACAAGGTTCCATTTACTAACCAGTCGTGTGAACCACACAGGCTTGAGCTACCCACCTAATGAGCTCCTCATTAGAAACATGAATTAATTGGCACCATACCTGGAGGAGTCCCACCATGAGGGTGAGTGACAAGGACAGTGACAGTATACCTGGAGGAGTGCCACCATGAGGGTGAGTAAAAGGTAAGTGACACAATACCTGGAGGAGTGCCACCATAGAGGTGTCAAGGAAATTGGCACTATACCTGGAGGAGTGTTACCATGAGGGTGAGTAACAAGGAAAGTGACACTATACCTGGAGAAGTGCCACCATGGGGGTATCAAGAAAACTGGCACTAAAACTGGAGTGCCACCATGAGTGTAACAAGGAAAGTGGCACTATACTTGGAGGAGTGCCACCATGGTGTGTCAAGGAAAGTGGCACTATACCTGGAGGAGCATCATCATGAGAGTGACAAGTAAAGTGGCATGATACCTGGAGGAGTGTTATCATGAGAGTGACAAGGAAAGTGGCACTATACCTGGAGGAGTGTCACCATGAGGATGAGTAACAAGGAAAGTGATGCTATACCTGAAGTAGTGCCACCATGGGGGTGTCAAGAAAAGTGGCACTATACCTGGAAGAGTG